CTCGCCTGTTCGCGCTGCTCGCGCTGCTCGCACTGCGCGCACTGGTCCCACTGGTCGTCGTGTCGCGCGTCCGCGTCCTCCTCCTGTTCCTGGCACGCATATTATGGCCCTTCGTCCTTCCACTGGTCCACAGCGTGTCCCCCTACCGTCTCCTCCTGCGTCTTCTCTTCCTGACGTTCCCGACCCTGAGTCTGACAGTGTTCGTGCTGCCCACCCTACTGTTACGCGTCTTCTCGCCACTGTTGTCACTGACCCGTCGTTTGAGTCTGCTGCTGCGTCTGCCCTGGTCGCTGAGCTTGTCGACTTTGCTGCTGCCTGTCGTCTAGACTACGCCGCCAGTCTTGTTGCTGGGTCTGAGTCTGTCTGTCCTCCGTCCGTCGGGGGTGAGTGTGCTCTTGGCACGGACGTCCTTGAGGACAGGCAGGAGGACTTTGACTCTCTTGCGGCTGCTGTACCTCATCTCGTGGCCTGGTTGCTTGCCCCTGAGGGAGACCCGGATGCACTAGACATCCCCACTCCGCGCTCTTACGCAGAGGCGATCTCGGGTCCCTACTCCTCTCAGTGGCAGACAGCCATGGACGCAGAGATGGCATCCTGGAAGTCCACAGGCACCTACGTCGACGAGGTTCCCCCTCCTGGGGCGAACATCGTCGATGGCATGTGGATTTTCAGGGTGAAGCGGCCGCCAGGTTCTCCACCTGTCTTCAAGGCTCGTTACGTTGCTAGAGGCTTCAGTCAGCGTCAGGGGGTTGACTTCTTCCAGACCTTCTCCCCCACCCCGAAGATGACCACTCTTCGGGTTCTGCTACACGTTGCTGCTCAGCGTGACTACGAGCTTCACTCTCTTGACTTCAGCACAGCGTTCCTGCAGGGCAGCCTGCACGAGGAGATCTGGCTGCGCCGCCCACCTGGCTTTACTGGGTCGTTTCCTCCTGGTACCCAGTGGAGCCTCCGCCGGCCAGTCTACGGTCTCCGCCAGGCGCCACGTGAGTGGCACGACACACTGAGGACTACACTTGCAGCTCTTGGGTTCGCGCCGTCTACTGCTGACCCGTCGCTGTTTCTGCGCACAGACACGTCGCTACCGCCGTTCTACATTCTCGTGTACGTCGACGACTTGGTCTTTGCTACTGCTGACACTGAGGCACTCGCTCGTGTGAAGTCGGAGCTGCAGAAGAGACACACCTGCACTGACCTGGGTGAACTGCGTAGCTACCTTGGCTTGCAGATCACCCGGGACAGAGCTCGCCGCACCATCACCCTGACTCAGTCACACATGGTGCAGCAGGTCCTTCAGCGCTTCGGCTTCCAGTTCTCCTCACCACAGGCCACACCTCTGGCTACCAGCCACTCGCTCTCAGCTCCACCTTCGGACGAGTCCGTAGAGCCGAGTGGCCCGTACCCAGAGCTTGTAGGCTGCCTCATGTACCTGATGACTTGCACGCGACCTGACCTCGCGTACCCACTTAGCATCCTTGCTCGTTACGTTGCGCTTGGGAGACACAGGCGAGAGCACTGGGAGGCTGCTAAGAGGGTGCTGCGTTACTTGTGCAGTACATCAGGCATGGGGCTGGTGCTTGGAGGACGCGACAGAGTTGTCCTCACTGGTCACTCGGACGCTTCTTGGGTGGACGACCTGGCTACGCAGCGGTCGTCACAGGGTTACACCTTCAGCCTTGGCTCTGGTTCTGTCTCGTGGCGGTCCACCCGCTCTTCTTCTATTCTCGGCTCTAGTTGTGAGGCTGAGATCTACGCCACAGCCATGGCTGCACAGGAGTTACGCTGGCTCACCTACCTGCTGACTGACTTGGGAGAGCGGCCTAGTTCTCCTCCAGTTCTGTACGGTGACAACAAGGCGGCTCTTGCCTTGTGTCAGGAGCACAGACTGGAGCACAGGACGAAGCACATTGCTCTTCGCTACTTTCTTGCTCGAGAGCTTCAGCAGCGCAGTCAGCTTCGGCTTGTGTACGTGGACTCAAAGGCCAACACTGCTGATATCTTCACCAAGGCGCTCCCGCCTAGTGATCATCAGCGGCACTGTACTTCTTTAGGCCTTGTGTCCACGTTTCCTCACTTGCTCACTGCTTGACATTCTTTGTACTGTACTTTATATTTGTCTTGCTGCTTGTCCTGTTCTATATCTAGCACTACATGTGAACTGGCCTTGTGGCCTTTGTTTGTGCTCGGAGTGTGGTGACGTTGTGATCCACCCTGGGCTTGTTTTTGCTTTGCTGGACTGGTCTTGTGACCCTTTGCTCTCCCCCACTTTGCCTATGGGGGTGTGTTAAGTTGTAATGTGTTATTTATATGTAGGTAGGCTGTAGTGGGGTAGCCAATACAGGGTACAAACCCAACTAGGGTTAGCTACTTGTACCCAACTGTTTCTTTCAATGCACCATTCTTGCCTAGTTCTGTTAACACCTGGGTCCAAGGTACGTCGTCACCACTCCAGGGCAGCTCCTCGAAGAAGCGAAACCGCGTAATTAATATGTGTGGCGTCATCGTCAACGCGCATTGCAGTAAAGAAGACCTCTACGCCGAACAACCACCCCTTGATTGAACGTCGCCGGTCGTTCGCTTGCGTCGTTACCGCGCGCGAGCTCGTCACTTGTAACGGCGCCACTCGCTCCTTGGCTGGCATTGTCACCTTCTTCATCGGGTGACTCGTGACGTGCATTACCTCGTGTTCGGCTTAGCTCGCTGTTTTCTTCACGTAGTGTTGTGACTTCCGTTGACAACATGTTCACTGTTGCCTGTAGCTCTTGCATTTGCGCTAGCATCTGGTTAATCTTCTCCTGGTCCATGAGTCGCACGCTTCGTATGGAGGGCAGAGGGGTGTCCATGGCCTTCAAGCAAGAAGAAAGAAAAAACTATCGGAGTCGGGCAGGTTAGAGTTAACGAACCTTGCAGCCAACCGTTTTGCAGTCTCCTGTATCAGCCAACCCGTGGCTCCAAACTACCATCGAAAAGCTAGGTGAAATAGGACAGTAGCTCTAATACAAGGTGTTATGAGTTGTAAAAGAGAGTGCGCGAAATAGCGAATAGCGAAGATGTGACTCAATGAAGTGACAATACAATGAAGGCACACGACTATATAGTGACTATCCTGGATAGGAGGGCATCTCGGGAAAACGAGGCCGGGTGCAGGTTTGGCGATCGAAAAGCCGAAGGCGACGCGGGGTAGCCTCGGCATCGGAAATGTAGGCCGAACGTGCGAAGTCCGAAATGTCGGGGTTGTGCGCGTAGCAGTTAACCCTATTAAGGAATAGCGAAAATTCTTTACACAAATGGTAATCGGTAAGGTAACAACCATAACTGATTCCTGGGAGGGCTAGTGTGGTGCCTTTCCCCACATGATTGTCTGTCAGGGCTTGAACATTGTGCGTGTATCCATTTGCATGACAATCCTTGCAAACTTGCGATCAATCCTGAAAATCCTTAAAATCCTAACAATAAGCTCTTTTTGTTTTGTTCTTAGATCCTATATTCAAATTCAGAATATCAAAGGCTCACGAATAGAAAAGGATTGCGAGTTTATGCTGGATAAAGGCGCTTTTGTGTCTGTACAGGTGCATATTCTTTTAGTCTATTGAATTTGAGTTATAAACAGGAAATGTATATAAGCTGCGTGTTCATTGCTTGAACCATGTTTGACTTGAGTTTGCCAGGAGATTCGGAGGGAGGGACACTGTGAGCGTTTGCCAAATTGGAAGGGTGGAATGGGGAACGGATCAGAGTTTGGGCGGCATGTATGCTGGAAATTCGTTTCACCCAGTCCCCTGCTGGAGAAATGCTGGTCAGAATCGAATTGGCAGTTGAATACTGTCCTATGTGACCTGGCTAAATGCAGATCTTGCCGCGAATTTGGTTATTTTTCGATACGTCGCCCTCTCTTGTGGTTCGGATTGATTCTTTTGGAGGATAAGGCTGCAGCATTGAAAAGGAGTGTGGGTTTCAACAGCTCGTTCCGTCGCCTCGCCAGGCGGGAGCTGCCTGGCACAGTTGCAACAATACCGGGGATGGATATGATTACAACTGGTGTACTTCTCCAACAGTGATACACAAAATTGGCAGCAGGTTTGGAAAATTTGTCTCGTTGTAACGATAGAACCTCCAGCGCTGCACAATGACCTGATGTACAGTTCCTTCTGAAGGACCTCGTCGTTGATATGGATGCTTCCCAGCGCCTCGTGTTGTACTGTTGAACTCCTCGGCGCTGTACTGTAGGTTTGGCATGGCAGCCGAAGCCCCCTGCCAGGCTTGGAGAGATTCGTGATTTGAGAAACAGTGCTATGACATGGAAATCGCATGAGTTGTCGTCCTACAGCTGTGCTTCCCGCTCATCCAGTCCACTCTTGCTGAGACTTTTCTCATCGCTTTTGGCTGCACTTTTCGTCACAACTGCCCTGAACGTAAACGAAGCTGACGTGGCCAGCTACCCGATGGAGGGGCATTTCGTGCACAACTTCATCCCCCCACCCCCCCTGACCACCACACCACCACACTCGCCACACTGACCCGCGCGTAACTGGCTAGCATGTCGTGTCTTTTTGAGCTGCCTAAATCAACCCTTTTGATGTCTATGTTAACCGCTCTAGACCGTGAATTTTCACTCCGGATGTCAGTACAGCGGACGCCAGTCTGGCGAGAAAGAGGGTGCACATAGGGCTCCGTCAAGCAAAATGCGCCAGTGCCCTCCGCTTTCGCTCGGTTCGTCAAACGTCGAATCAGCTCCTTGCATCGCGTCGGTCTTCTGCCCGCTTCGGTTTCATCGTCTGCCCAGCTTTCCCCACCCATGCCCCCTGCCCGGTGAAGCGAAACCCTCGTCCCTTGGGAGTTGCGACGGGACGACAACCCCCTGCTGCTGCTTGCTGCTTGCTGGTGCTGCTGCGTCCCCTCCTCCCCGCCCACCACCCCCTTACCCACTGCTGCTGCCTGCTGTATTCCTCCCACCCGAGCCTGCCAACAAGGCTAGCTGACAGTCACGAGGGTTTGAATGGATGTTGGGACATCAGGCTCACTTAGTTTTCACTTTCATGATCTGTTCGCTGACGTGTAGCAGCTAGCAACGTCGACTTACACGTTATGTACTCTTAGGATCTGGCGATATTTTGTGGTTGAAGCGGTGGAGGTTCGTTGCACGAATCGCGCTTACATACGTTACTAAGGAGCATCTCTGCTTTTAGGTTTAGATCAAAGTACTCGAGCGAATAATGGCATCGCGAGATGATGGTGGTGACGTAATGGCGTCAGCGATAGATGATTATCCGTCGCTGAAGGCCAAATGGGTAGTTATGCAGCATGCAGGCAAGAAGCCGGGTTCCATGTTCGATGACCTCGCCTTCGTGTGAGTTATTTCTGTTTATTCCATCCTCTCCTGGTTAAGGTTGCACTTAGTATGTACTTCTTGTTGCCTATCCGCATCCCTGGTAGCCTGGTCACGCGTTCGAGATGTCTGATGTGAGACTCGTCTGTCCATTCGTAGTTCTCTTACAATATTCCAGTCATTTTCTGTGTGCAGCCCGGACCACGACCTCCTTGACACTGTATGGCTTGATAACCCCCAACAAGAATCCACCGGTAAAAAAGGCGAGAAGCCGTGGCAGGCTGACCCTAAGGCTGCATCGTATCCGTCCGAGGAGCCTGCATCAACGGCTGTTCGCGATGCTGAGCTGGACGTCGTCGTCAACAACCAACTCGCGGTGCAGGATCCGCCTGCCGCTCCGCCGCCAGCGGCGTTTCGCGACGACATGGTGTCGTGGCTGCTGGACGAGGCGATCGACGGCACCTTCACGGCGGACGCCTGGCACGACTTCGCAGCCGCTGCTCTCGGCGAGGCGGGCAAGGAGATTCACAAGGACGCTGCCGCTGGTCCCACTGACCCTGCTGCTAAGCCTCCCCCCGTTCACGCTTCTGCTCCCATGGCCGCAGAGGCAGACGCCTTTCACAAATCCGCCGCGTTCGGCGGCGTGAAACCGGGCTTTAAGAGCTTGAGGCCTGAGCAAGCGACGGTATCGCAGAGACCGATCGGGCAGGGCCAGGCGACGGGGTGCGACGGTTTGGCGAAGAAGACGGCGCTGAGCAACATGGGTGTCGCCGCGCTGCTCGCACAGAAACGAGCCGTCAGCCTCAAGCCGGTCGCCGTGTTTCCCGGTAGCATGGCGGAAATGCGGATGAACAGCGGCGGGGCGGAGAAAGGCGCTAGTATGATGGGGAAGGGGGCGAGTATCATGGAGATGTTCAGCCAGCAGTCGCAGCAGCTGCAGCAGGAGCAGGAGCTGCAGCACGAGCAGCTGGAGCTGCAGCAGCACGAAGAGGAGCTGGCGGCGCAGCAGTTGTTTCTTATGGAGCAGCAGAAGCTGCGTCAGCAGCAGCTGAAACTGCGACAGGCGTTTCAACAGCAGCAGCAACAGCAGCAGCTGCAGCAGCAGCAGCAACAGCAGCAACAACAGCAGGAGCAGCAGCAACAACAGCAACAACAAATGTTACAGGAACAGCAGCAGCAGCAGCAGCAGCAACGGAAGCTGCTATCGCAGCCGCAGTGTCAGCTGGTGAAGCTGGAGGCGAAGCAGGCGTCCATGAGGTTTCCCGACCAAGCAAACGCTCTTCAAGGCAACTCCCCGCAGTGCGCCGCTCCGCGCGCCACGCCTCTCAACTTCTCGCACTTCTCTCTTCCCGCTGCTCTCTACGGCCGCACCAATACCAAGTCCGCCGCCGCCGCCGCATCATCCGCAGCCGCGCCGCCCTCTAGTTCGCAAGGCAACTTCCGGCCGCCGACCAAGGTGCCAACGCCGACCGCGAAACCCGCCACCGCCCCACCTGCCCCCACGCTTGCGCGCGCAGGCGACCCTTCAGCGTCTCCCCCGCAAGCTACCGCGCAGCAACCAACGCAACTGGCGGCTGCGGGCAGTCCCACGGCAGGCGCTGCGAGCCAGTCGGGTGCCCCCGCAGGACCCTCCGCGCGCGCGCTGTCGCGGTCTCCGCCTGCCGCTGGCCCGTCCACCTCCGCGGCGCACTCTGCTGCGGCGGGCGCGCTTACCCCCGCGGCGCCCAAGCCACTTCCGTACGCGCCGATCGCGAAGCAGCAGCAGCAGCAGGACGCGGAGAGAATGCGCGGCGAGGCATCGGCGGACGCGTTTCACGCGTCGACGGTGACCAGCAATGTGGACGGCCCCGCCGCGTGGGGCAAGCACGAGCGCGACGGCACGGGCAGCTGCGCCGTGGGGGGCGACGACGACGACACGGTGGGCGCGCACAGGGAGCGGATGGCGCGCAAGAACACGTGCGGAACGAAGGACTCGGGCATTCATCCGGGGTCGGGCGGCGGGGGCGGGGGCAGCTGGGGGAAGCGGTCGCGCGAGGAGAGCGAGAACATGGCGTTCGACGAGGCGGACGCGGCGGAGGAGTCGGCGGACACGCGCAAGACGAACACGACGGCGAAGCGCATGGCCGTGTCGGGCAACGAGAGCAGCGCCGCCAAGCGCGCGCGCGCCGCGGAAGTGCACAACATGTCGGAGCGGGTGCGTCCCCTGGCTTGCGTGCTCCGCTCGTTCCTCTTACGCGACCTGATCTGCATGTCTCGCTGTGTTGATTCCTTTCCACCTTCCAGTCCAGATGACCATTTCGACGTCTGCTGTGCTAACCTACGCTGTGTCGTTTTGTGTGTTGTGACCCTCCCTGCCGTGCGTGCGTGCAGAGGCGGCGGGATCGGATCAACGAGCGGATGAAGACGCTGCAGGAGCTCATTCCAAACTCCAACAAGGTACGCCGCCGTCCCTCGCCCTGTCTCGCCCCTCTCACTTGCGCATCTTCCATACTCTCCGTCCTCCCGTCCCCAATCCCGCCCCCGTTCCCGCTCCAGTTCCCACTGCCCCTTGCGTCGACTTCCTTCTGCTCGTCGCGTTTCCGCCTGTTTCTACCTTGGTTCTGCTTGCTAACCGGGAGCTCTGTTCTGTGTGTGCGTTGTGTGCGTGCGTGCCTGCCCTCCTGCGTGGTGTGTGCGGCTTGTGCAGACGGACAAGGCGTCGATGTTGGACGAGGCCATAGAGTACCTCAAGATGCTGCAGCTGCAGCTACAGGCAAGTTGCACATCCACTGCCCGCTCCCTCTACCCCTCCATCGCCCACCGCTCTGCTCCTCCATTGGTCCTCCCTCGTGCCCCTCCCTGTGCACACTGCATATTTCTTTTCAATCCGCACTCCGCGTTGTGTTGGTACGTATGGGACTCCCTTGGCCTGGCCGCTCATTCTCCTCTCATCCTCCCTCTCCCGCTTCCTGTCCCGCCCCGTTCCTCCTCTCCGCAACCCCCCCTCCCCCTTGGCGCGCGCAGGTCATGTCCATGCGCACGGGCATCAGCATCCCCTCCGGCCTCACGGGCGCGGGCTCCGCGCTGCCGTCGCTGGGCGCGGCGAACATGGCGGCGGCCGCGGCGCACATGGGGTCGTCGCCGCTGCCGGGCGCGCTGGGAATGGGGCTCTCAGGCATTGGCGCAGGGCTGGGCGGGGGACTCGGGGGGATTAACGCGGGCATGGGCATGGGGATGGGCATGGGAATGGGGCTTGGGATGGGCGGGCTGGGAGGCATGGGGGGGTTGGGCATGGGTGGCATGGGCATGGGCGGTCTTGGGTTGTCGGAGCTTGCTGGACTGCCAGCTCAGCAGCGGCTCATGATGGAGATGGCGTGTGCTGACTTGGCACCGAATACAGCCGGGCAGGGTCAACTGAATGACATGTCATCGGTTGCTGCGGCCATGGCTGCTGCCACGTCATCCCAGTCGCTGTCCCAATCCGCTCGGCACTCGCAGCTGCTGTCACAGTTGCAGGCGGCGCAGGCAGCAGTGGTGGCAGCAGAGGGTGGCGCTAGCGGAGGGGGGGGTGTGGGGCGGGACGGCGGAGGAGGGAGGGCAGCAGCAGCGTCAGCGTCGGCGTCAGCGTCAACGTCAGCAGCCATGGCGGCTGCGGCTGCAATGCTGGAGGGGCACCGGCAACGAGGGCCGTCGGTGGACCCCATGGAGGCTTACCTGGCTCGGCACCAGCAGCAGCAGCAGCAGCAGCAGCAACAACAGCAGCAACAACAACAGCAGCAACAGCAACAACAGCGCCAGGTGCGTTTCTGTGTATTATAAATGTTACTTATGAATTGGCTTGCTCAAAACCCTCATTCCTGCCGTTACCTGTCGAGTTCTTCTTGGGATACATGACTGCCTGGCTTTCTCACCTGTCACCTACTTCTCTCTTGTATGCCTGCAGGCGTTCAATCTGGATATGTACCAAGCGTTCCTGCAGCAGCAGCAGCAACAGCAGCAGCAGTAGGTCAAGCCTCCCAGCCTTGAGTCTTGTGGCATTTTTCGTGTGGCTGCTGTGCCATCGTGGGTTGTGGTGTAATGGGGTCCCACAACAGCAGTGGTGCCAGGTCATCATGCGGCTGATTGGTGGTCAAGTAACATATGGCTGTCCTGCACCATGCCACCTGCCCCTAGCTTGACCTCTCAAACATCCAAGTGTGCATGGGATTACAAGCATTTGTCTGTCAGGTCTTCCATTGTTATTCCTACAGCCAGCCATGGCTGCGCTGTTGCCAAACACTGCAAACACGGTTGTGTCTGATTCTTCAATCATGGCATACCACATTTGCCATGCAATGCAAGCATGTGTGCCTGTACTTAATTTTGCTTGTTCTCCTAGTTTTCCCTTGGATGAAAACTGTACATCCAATTCGTTTCCGCTTGCTTTGATGCATCCCAATTGGAGCTGTGTTGAGTTAAATGAAATTTTTTGAAAGTGTAAAACACTTTCTAAAAATAAAGATTGTGAAAGCGCAGCTGACTGTAGTGAAGCAAGGCAACTGCGAATGCTTGTTCCCGAGTACATAACGAGGGTTGGAGGCCATTTGGCCTCCACCCACGTCTTCATTTCGGAACTTTACAGTTCCGCTTCATTCTCGTCCAACCACTCCCGTTTTCACTCGTCATAAATTTTGCTCTAGAAGTACGAAGGCAACGCATCGACAAGCGCTGCAGCAGCAACGTAACTTAAACAATAGCTACTACCGGCGTTAACTGCGAAGGTTATAGCATCGCGCCGGCGATGCATTTGGTGTGCGCGCAACCGAGAAAGAAGTGCGCATGAAGCAACGGCCACTCGCGCATCAGTGACGAAGTCGCCACGTGCGCCAGTGGCGTGCGCTAGTGACGAAATCGTCACTTGCGCCAGTGGCGCTCGCGTGTGGCGAAATCGTCACTTGCGCCAGTGGCGCTCGCATGTGGCGAAATCGCCACTTGCGCCACTGGCGCGCGTGTGTGGCGAAATCGCCACTTGCGGCAGTGGCGCACGTCTGTGGCGAAATCGCCACGGACGAAATGGCCAGCGGCGCGGCAGTCAAGAAACTACTACCGCCGCGCCTAAGGCGTTTCACTGGGCGTCAATCGCCAATGCAGCACCCCATGTCACCTCACCATTTGTTAAGCTTCATATAAATTGTTGCAAGCTCTTTTCATTTTCTTTTTCTTCTTTCCATTCCTGATTTATTCTCTCATTGCCTATTAATCTCGATACTCCCTCGATTCTCTTGGTGGCAGAAAAACGGGCACAACATGGAAAAAATGCACGTGAAGTCGGACTCTACTAGCCACGTGGAAAAAAAAAAATGCAACTACGACCGGATCAACTGCACGCACATCGAACGAGGGGATTGAGAGCCGTCCCCCAGGGGGGGAAGGGGACCGAGGGTCCCCAAGTTGGCCTGAGAGCCGCCCCCAGGGGGGGAAGGGGAGCGAGGGCCCCCAAGTTGGCCTGAGAACCGCCCCAGGGGGGGAAGGGGACCGAGGGTCCACAAGTTGGCCTGAGAGCCGCCCCCAAGGGGGGAAGGGGACAGAGGGTCCCCAAGTTGGCCTGAGAGCCGCCCCCAAGGGGGGAAGGGGACCGAGGGTCCCCAAGTTGGCCTGAGAGCCGTCCCCCAGGGGGGGAAGGGGACCGAGGGTCCCCAAGTTGGCCTGAGAGCCGTCCCCCAGGGGGGGAAGGGGACCGAGGGTCCCCAAGTTGGCCTGAGAGCCGTCCCCCAGGGGGGGAAGGGGACCGAGGGTCCCCAAGTTGGCCTGAGAGCCGCCCCAGGGGGGAAGGGGACAGAGGGTCCCCAAGCTGGCCTGAGAGCCGCCCCCAGGGAGGGAAGGGGACAGAGGGTCCCCAAGCTGGCCTGAGAGCCGCCCCGAGGGGGGGAAGGGGACTGAGGGTCCCCAAGCTGGCCTGAGAGCCGCCCCCTAGGGGGGGGAAGGGGACCTAGGCCCGCGAGCTTCGATGTTTGGCCAAAAGCACTTCCAGAGGGGGAAGGAAAGGTATGCTGGCCAGAGGGCCACCTTCTTAGGGAGGGAGGACTTGCAGACTTTTTGAGATGGGGGAAAACCCTGACTATTGTCTATGTGGATATGTCGTACTACATCATTGGCTATATGTGTACAATATGACAATAGTGAAAATAAAAATACAAATCACGAGCAATCCTGGTCCAAATCGGATGTCGGAGCCACAAACAACCATTCGACTGACTTTGATAAGGTTGGTAGAATGTAGCTACGTGTAGTAAGGACATCTATTGGGTCCTCGTTTCTTACTTACCTACACAGCACAATGAGGGGGGAGAGTGTGTGTTGCAACCATTATTCTCTAGTACAATACGGTCCAAGATAGAAACGAGCAACCGATGGGCCGCGAGACGAGCAACCGACGGGCCACGAGACGAGCAGCCAGCCAGGCCCCATGTTATCAGGATAATTTATCATGAATTTCCTGAATTCAGGATATGTGTTTTGTCCTTCTCCTGGCAAACCACCGTAACGGAAATATTGGTCATGTAAAAAATCACTGTAGCAGTTATTTCGCGTACTAAGAATTCAATATAACGCTGTAGGTTCACCCCTGATGAGTCAGGATAGTGAAGAGACTCCTCCTAAAGGGAGTACTGCGCAATTTTTTCCTGGGCCTAGTGTACCCAACCATCGACCTGGTACAACGTAAATCACGCGCCGTGATTGTCTCCCTGTTTTTTTTATGACATGGCTCGTTCAAATCCAAAGCGCGCCCAACCTGGTAACACTTCATTGCTGAAATCACCACCAATATGAGTGTGCCGCTGACTTACGGTAACACGCAGGAAAAGCACTGCCAACTTTGCAGAATGCTGTTGGATTATGCGTAATGTAGCACTGTTCGGCCGTCAAACTCCGCACTGACGGCTCAGCAAACTTCCTACCAAACTGCCCGGAAGCCTCGGCGTACCCTCAAACGAATCCGCGGGCCCGCGAGCAACGACGGGCCAGGAGACGAGCAACTGACGGGCCACGAGACGAGCAACCAACGGGTCACGAGATGAGCAACCGACGGGCCACGAGACGAGCAACCGACGGACCACGAGACGAGCAAACGACGGACCACGAGACGAGCAACACCGATAAGCCAAGAGACGAACAACCGACGGACCATGAGACGAGCAACCAATGGGCCAATAGACGAGCAACCAACGGGCCACGAGACTAGCAACTGACGGGCCACGAGACGAGCAATCGATAGGCCAAGAGATGATCAATTGATGGGTGAATAGACAAGCAACTGACGGGCCACGAGATGAGCAGCAATTGGACCACGGGGTGAGCAACTGATGGGCCACGAGACGAGCAACCGATGGGCCACAAGACGAGAAACCAATGGAACAAGACATGAAGCAACCGATGGGCCAAGAGACAAACAACAGATAGGCCAGGAGACGAGCAACCGATGGGTCAGTAGCGCATGGCTTGAGGTGTCAGAGGTCCACTGGTGATCCCCGATTGATCCTAGGGAAGGGTTACAGGCACGTTGGCCTGGGGGGTTATGGGCGCACTCACCCGCTATACAAACAAGCCCTTTTATCCCAGTGGTTAGTGGCTGGGATTCTGACATGGTATCAGAGCGAAGATCTCGGGTTCAAATCCCGGTGTGTGCACCTCGGGCATCCCAGTGCGGGGGGGTGTCAGAGGTCCACTGGTGATCCCCGATTGATCCTAGGGAAGGGTTACAGGCACGTTGGCCTGGGGGGTTATGGGCGCACTCACCCGCTATACAAACAAGCCCTTTTATCCCAGTGGTTAGTGGCTGGGATTCTGACATGAGGTTTGGTTATGCGACATTCTTCTTACGAACCCATATCCTTATGGATGATGCACACCGTACCGGTCCTGTAGGCATCATATTTCAATAGCAGTCGCTACACTATGATTACACCTCATTCTGGACCCCTTCGTTCCCCAATAAAGGAATTTCGTACCCTAGGCCGATCGCAAACATGAAAGTTCAAAGTCAAGCATCCATTCTTGCTAACACGTCACTAGTCCAAGACCCTACACCCCGTCATTCACCAAACAAGACCAACATCGCTGCAGGAGTCCTCGCGCAACACTCGGAGCCTCATCACTGCCACATGGGCCGTCTTCAACAACCATCTTCTACACCGCGCATGCCAGCACAACAATCATTCTAAACTATGGCCCCCCACTCCACCAACAAACGATCGGCACAAGGAGGGAGCAACTCGATATACGTCGACATACAACGACCAACACCAACAATTAATGTCACGGGACGTCACCATCGACCAGCTCCGCCAACGCACGCACATGTCTCAGAAGACCCAATTAAAATGAAGCACGTTGCCTTGCAATAACCAGAAAGCAAGCTTTCTCAATATGAAATTTTTTGAAAGTGTAAAACACTTTCTAAAAATAAAGATTGTGAAAGCGCAGCTGACTGTAGTGAAGCAAGGCAACTGCGAATGCTTGTTCCCGAGTACATAACGAGGGTTGGAGGCCATTTGGCCTCCACCCACGTCTTCATTTCGGAACTTTTCAGTTCCGCTTCCCCCCCGCCCACCCCTTGTTGATCTTTGTGTAATGCTTAAGTTGGACGAGAATGTTGTAATTACCCCAATTAAAATGAAGCACGTTGCCTTGCAATAACCAGAAAGCAAGCTTTCTCAATATGACACAGCTGCAATTTGGATTGAGCTTAGCTCTCTTGAATGACAAACTGATCTAATGTGTGGGGGGGCTAAAGCTGTTGCGTCCATCCTACCGGTACGGTACGGTAGCTAGCCAAGGTA